CCAAAATAAACACAGAAAGGTGCTGGAGAAAACTCAACACGTTGGGTGGCGCCTATGTTAAAAAAGACGAAAAATATCGAGGGAGAAAAACAAACCAAGGGTAGAAGGGGAGGAGGTTAGGGAAGGAAGAACAGGGATTAATAAATCGGACAGACGCAAAGAGTTCGGATAGCGATAAAATAGCAGAAGAGGACAGTAATGGAGGGTGGCAGGAAGAGGAGTTTGAGGGAGGGAAGATGAAAGGAGGCGGGATCTGTCTCCATTGCGTCCGCCCTCGCCTTATAAAAGCGGCGGTTCCGAGCCTGTAGAGGCTTCTCTTGACAGACGTTGAGCTCGCGAGCTGGTGATTTGTAGCGACTTCCCGCCACCGTTTCATTGCTGTTGTTTTCCATTGTTTTAACGTTTAAACATTGCGTGCATTGAAGGAAGCTCGAAGGTACAGACAGAAACCAAAATAACGACGACCGCCACCAGCATCGGTGGAGGGGGGAGGAGGAAGGCATGGCTGACGGCAGCCAGAAGGCGGACGACGCCGGGGAGTCGGGCGGGGGTGGAGGGGACACGCCACCCGGCTCTCAGCCTCGAACGGGCGCCGAGAAAGCGGCGGGCAAGAAAAAAAGGAAGCAGCAAAACCAGCAGCAGCATCAACCGCAGCAGCTGAAACAGACACAGCAGCAGCAGAATCTACTCCAACAACAACAGCCACAGCAGTCTCAGCAGCAGCTCCAGCCTCGCTCCGCGCAGCGCCGCAAGAGGGGTCCTACCATGGCCGAGCAGATCCTCCATGTGGCGGCCGCCACCAAGGAGCGGCGCGGCATCTCACTGGCCGCCCTCAAGAAGGCTCTCTCGGTCAAGGGCTACGATGTGAGCCGCAACAACACGCGGGTCAACCAGACGGTGAAGAACCTGGTCCTCAAAGGCTCCCTGGTGCAGACGGCGGGCATCGGGGCCTCGGGCTCGTTCCGCTTGAACCGGGGCGCAGTCGGTGGAGGAGGAGCAGGAGGCGGCGGCGGAGGATCCAGGAAGGACAAAGACAAAGCCAAGAGGAAACGGGCGGCCAAACGCCGGCACCAACACCCCGTCTCCCGGAGGACGCCACCGGCCCGGCTCCGGAAGAAATACACCCGGCGCAAAGACGCCGCTGCTACCTCCGAAGGAGGAGGAGCAGGGTCCAAGGGTCGGAAGGTAACTGTTCGCCGCCGTCAGCAGCAGTACCGACCCCGTTCCCGCCGCAACGGAGGAAGAGGAGGCCGTCGCAAATCGCGCTTCACCGGCCGCCGGGGCCCGGCCAAGACCGCCCGCCTGAAAACCAGCTCCGGCACCTCCTCCGCCGCTGCCACCCACTATTATTACTACTACTCATCTCCCACCCGTAGGCCCGCCCGGCTCTACGGCAAGTACAAGCCGGCGGTCCGTCATCGCGGCCGGAAGGTGCCCGGGTACGGCAGCTCCCGCGGGAAGCCGCGGGGATCCCGGGGCAAGAGGTTGGCCGTCCGCCAGAGGAGATACTGAGACGCCCCGTTCAACCTATTCTTTCCGGGGGAGAGGATGGAGGGGTCTGACGCCCTCACCTCTGTCTCCTGTACAAACGGCTCTTTTCAGAGCCACCACACCGTGCCTAGTAAGAGCTGGTTCACATCCACGTTTTACGCGTTATTTTTCACCTCGTCTTATCACAGGGAATCAGGACACAGCGAAATTCTGAAGGAGAGTCACTGAATTCGAAACGTTAACTCTTGCTTTTTCCACAGATGCAGCCAGAGGTGCTGAGCTGAGCTGAGCTTCTCTAAAAATTTGTTTTCTTTTGGAAAGCCGAAAGAACTGCGAATGCTGGAAATCACAAACAAAAGCAGAAATCGTTGGATAATCTCAGCAGGTCTGGCAACATCATTTTTGAGGAAGAGTCATTCGACCCGAAACGTTTAATGATTTTTCCACAGATGCTGCCAGATCTGTTGGGTTTATCCAGCAATTTCTGCTTTTCTTTCAGATCTCCAGTAGTTTTATTATGCCAGAGCGCAGTCCCAGCCCTGAAACACGGAACACAGACTCATTTTTCCCGAACACTATACAGCCGTTCTACACGGGAATTATTTATTTGACTCGTCCATTTATCTTTCAGAAAACCACAAGTGGCGCACATGCCATATCATAGAATTGGTTTATTTGGGGATTAATTTAACTTGGCTGACAAGTTTTTTTTTTTACACCTACTAATATATTATTCTGAAATGGAGGTGCCGGTGTTGGACAGGGGTAGTCAAGATCAGAAGTCAAAACGACACCAGTTTATTGTCTAACGGGTTTATTTGAAATCACAAACTTGCACTTCACCTGACGAAAGAGCAGCACTTGTGATTTCAAACAAACCTATCGGCTTGTGACCTGGTGTAGTGTAACTTCTGGTCTTACTATTCTGCGGAAGTGTTAGATCAGACTCAAAACGTCAACTCTGCTTTTCTCTCTCCTCGGATGCCGCCAGATCTTCCGAATTTCTCCAACACGTTTTTCTTTATTTACCATTTTAGTGTATTCCGCGATTACCATAAGGTTACTTGACACATCATTTATTTAAATTGCCGATTTCCCTTAAAATTCAATAATTGTCTGGTCGTCCACTCCGTGATCACAAAGTTAAAATAAAGCAGCTCTGCGGACGCTGGAGATCTGAAACAAATAACAAATTGCTGGAGAAATCAGCTGAAATTGCTGAAGGGTCACTAGACTCGAAACGTTAACTTTGTTTTCACTCCACAGATCAGGAAGTTGTTTTAGGGATTTGCTTAACTCGCTGATTTAATAATCTACTATTTTGTGTTCCACAGTGATCATAAAGTTATTTCACAGGGGATTTATTTTATATGCCAATTTTTGCTTAACAAGATTGTCTAGTATTGTATCAACTGATCATGAAGTTAGTTGGTTTGGGATTTGTTTAAATTGATGGCTTTCTTTAAGAACCTATCTTTATCGTGTTCCACAATGACTGTAAAATTATTTCACAAGAAAGCAGCTCATTACCACCTTCTCAAAAGCAACTAGGGGCGGAAAATAAAATGCTGAACGAAAAAGGGAATGTATTTCTCTTGCAATTTCCCTTGATCCTCATCGAGTTCCATCCACAATCATAACGTTAGTTTACTTTGGATTTCTTTACAAAATGTGTCAATGATATTCAACACTGCAACTAAAGTGGATTTTTTTCCAGCACGCCGGGATGTTCGGTTTCTAAGAATTTATTTCACTTTCTGTCCCTGGTTCTGCAAAAAGTTCTGTCTTGAAGTTTCCGAATCTTGTTTCTCTGCTGAGATTGTGGATTATTCTTTTCACCCCTTTGTTCTGGTATTGCAGCCCCTTCGACATGCTTCTGTTTATGTTCTGCACCAGAAATTCCAGATGAGCTACAAGCCGAATCTGGATATTAGTCGAGCTTCGTGCTCCCTAAAGGTTTGTCCCGGCTCTTTCCTTACTGCAGGAGTTGACTTGTTATTAGGCTTGGACGTTGCATCACGTTAAGGGAGTCAAACCCTTTAATAAAGGTTGCTGATATTACTCAGACAGGTCTGAGTGGGATGAGATTTCTATTTGCAATGCAATGTGCTATGGGACAGGGTGACTGGCCAAGCTTTAATTGATTCACGATCTCGTTTCTTTAAACCGTTAGGACCAGAATGACAACAGCTTAAAAAAAAAGTGTTGTGGAGGGTAGAACTGGGCTGATATTTTAAGCTAGTGCAGTGAAAACTTGCGTTTGCATTGCACTATGTATAAACAGACCCTTCGGTTCAACTCGTCCATGCCGACCAGATATCCTAAATTAATCTAGTCCCATTTTCCAGCATTTGGCCCATATCCCTCTAAACCCTTCCTATATGAAAACAATTTGGTAGAATTAGAGATAATAGGAACTGCCGATGCTGGAGTCTGAGATAACAAAGTGTAGAGCTGGATGAACACAGCAGGTCAGGCAGCATCAGAGGAGCAGGAAAGCTGAAGAAGGGTCCAGACCTAAAACGTCAGCTTTCCTGCTCCTCTGATGCTGCCTGGCCTGCTGTGTTCTACACCATATTGGTAGAATTAGGATTTGGTCCTGCGCCACTGATGAAAATGATGTGAAAAATTAATGCCGTTCTCCACAAACCTGCAACGTATTCCGTTTGAAGTACAGTATTTATTCATCAAATAGTGAAATCAAAAAAACAAATTGAGAATGTTGGAAAATCAAAAATAAAAACGTTGGAGAAACTCAGCTGGCAGCATCTGTGGAGAGAGAATTGAAGTTACCTAGAGTTCTAAAGAAGTCATCCTGAACTGGAAACGTTAACCTTGTTTCTCTCCACGGACGTTGCTATACCCGTGTTTCTCCAGCACTTTGTTTTTATTCCACATCCTCAGTGCTTTGCTTGTATTTTGCTATTTTAAGAATTGTTTTTGTTTCTGATTTCCATCATCCACAAATCTTTTGGTTTTTACTTAGCCAATTTAGTCTCACTTCATTGTTAAAATGCTCCAACTCAGGCAACATCCTGGTGATCCTCCTCTGGACCCTCTCCTCACGTCCTCCTTATAGCGTGGTAACCAGAACTGCGCACAGTGCTCCTAGCTGTGGTCTAATTAACAAGATACACAGCTCTATGAGAACCTCTTGCAGTCGATGCCTTCACAAATAAAGGCAATAATCCCGTATGCCTTCTTAACCACCTGTCCTATTGCTTTGAAGCAGCTATGGAGAAGCACAGCAAGGTCTCCCTGAACGTATTAGGAATCATTATATGTGCACTCTCTCGCCTTGTTAGTCCTCAATTTTGACACAGGCTTTCCTTTAGTTCAGTGCAGGTATAAGGTTTGTATTGGGTGTTATGTTAGTGGACTTATAAATTTACATTCAGATGGACGTGAGAGACCGGTACCTACTTTTGTCTGGGGAGAATTTGTGGCTCTCAAAAGAGCCGTTTGTGTTCAGGGTCGTGAAAAGAAAAAGAAATGGGATTGTTCTCCGCTCACTTCCTAGTCTTCGTCCTTGTCTTCCTCGTGACCCGTCTTCTGCGGGGCTTCTTATCGGGTTGCTGAGTTTCCTCCCTGGCGCAGGCAGAAACACTCCCTTCTGTGGGTGGGATCAGGGACGTGGTCGTCGGCGGCTCCGTCCCTGGAGGCGGTTCGGTCTGCTGCTTGTGGCCGGCGCCGAGCTTGAGGGATCCGGTGGCCGTGGTCTGCACCAGCGAGCCGCTGCTCACTAAGTTCTGGATGGCCAGCTGCACCCGGTTCTTGTTGCGCTCCACGTCGTAGCCGCTGTCCAGCAGCGCCTTGCGGAGGGAGTTGAGCGACAGGGCGCCCCGCTGCTTGCGGGCCGACAGCGCCTGGAGGATCAGCTGCGAGATCCGCACCTCCTGCCGCCGCTGGCGACGGTAAGGCCGCAGCTGCTTCTGTTGTTGCTGCTGCTGAGGTGATGGAGGCTGCAGTTGCTGCTCCGGCTGCTGCCTCCTGGCCGCCGGGCTGCCGGCCAAGGCTCGGGGTACCTTCGGCATGGTCTCTGCATTCAGACAGACTGAGCCGCCGCTGTCCCTTCCCGTTCTATTTAAAGACTTGGGGCAGACGCAATGGAGACTCATTTAAATGTGAGGGAGGGGTGATGGTGGCAGAACGGGAATGGTACTCGTCTCCCCGCCCAGGCACCAGCGGTCGTGGAGACACGAGTTCGAGTCCCACCACGGGACCTGATAGAATTTAAACTCAATTCAATTAGCGTGGCAATGCCGCTGGACTGGAAATCCCGGTTCTACGTTCTAGAAGCACGGATTCAAATCTACCCCGGGGCCTGACCGAGTTGAATCCCGAATCATCGCAAACCTTCAACTGGTTGTCAGCAATATTCGGTACTGCCACTGGACTGGGGGCAATCCAGACACCGCGGCTTCATGCTGTGGGAGACTCGGGTTCTAATCCTACCCCGGGACCTGGTACAATTTAAATTCAATTAAATAAGCATCTGAAATTAGTCGTCAGTGATATTTTGCTCGTGGTAATATCACTAGACTAGGAGCAATCCTGACACCTTGATTCATGGAAACATTGGAAGTAAGAGCAGGAGTAGGCCATTCGCCCCCTCGATCCTGCTGTCCATCATTCAATAGGATTATGGCTGATTCTCTATCTCAAGGTTATAACCCTGTTTTCTCCCACACCCCTTGATGTCTTTAAAATCTCAAAGATTATTTATCTCTTCCTTGAATATGTTAAGTGACCTGGCCTCCACAGGCGTCTATGGTGGAGAATTCTAGAGGCTCACTATTATCTGAAGTACAGTTCTGGGGACATAGGTTCTAGTCCCACCTGGTGGATGGTAAAATTTCAACTCAATCTATTAAAAATCTGAAATTGGTCATTCGTGTTGTTTGGTCATGGTAATGCCATTGGACTAGTACCAATCCAGAAATCCCAGGCTAATGTTAAGAAGACATGGGTTTGAATCACATTGGATAGTAACATTTGAATTTGTTTTTAAAAAATGTGGATTTAAAATGTTAGTCTAATGGTAACTATCTAACTATTGTTAATTGTTGTATTTAAATTTAAAAATCATCTGGTCCACTAGTATCCTTCAGGGAAGGAGATCTACCTTTCATATTCAGTCTGGTTTATGCAATTCTTGACCCACAACAATGGGGTTGACTTTTCAATGTCCTTTCACAGGGCTGAAAAGGTCATTCAGTCATTATGAAGGAATAAAGGGGAGAAAGAAAGTTAACCTTGCTGATCAAGCCATACAGCTCAAGGGCAAATTAGGGATGAGCTATAAATGTTGGCCTCGCCAGTGATGCCTAAATTCATGAATAAATAAAGGATTTAAAAAATAAAAATTAACGTGAGGGAGACTCTGATTGAAGATTGTAATTAAAACAGCTAGTGTTTTGGAAATTCTGGACTAATACTCTCGGGCATGGCTTGAAATCCTAACTCAGCGCTAGTATATGCTAAATTCCATTAATAAAACTTGGAACTGAAAGGAAGAAAAGGTGACCATGGCTTAATATAGATTGTGCAAAAACTCAGCAGGTACGCTAACATGAACATTTGCTGTCCTTACCTGACCTTAATGGAACTCCAGACCCACAGCAATGTGCTTGACTCTAAACTTCCCTTTGAATTGCCTGATCAATTCACTCAGCTACCACGTAAAAATAAAGGAGAAGGGGAAAATGGCAGCTGCCCTTTGAAAAATGTCAAAAGAGCACCCAGTTCAACTGGGAGAAAAACGGTGATATAGTGATAATGTTACTGGATTATTAATCCAGACGTTAATGCTCTGGGGAACACACACTCAAAGTTCGACTGTGTAATGGAAGCCACTAAACTATTGTGCATAGATGTAAAAACTTGGTTCACTTCATGGAAGGAAATCTGCCATTGTTAGATTGTATGACCTACGTGTGATTCCAAACCCACAGCAAATGGAGTTGAACTCTTCAATGACCTCAGCGATCGCCCAGAAAGTCACTGTCTTAAAGGGGAAGTTCCGATGGGCAACAAATGTTGGCAAAGCCAGCGATGCCCTCATCCCATGAATAAATAAAAAAGAACAAAAATGTTCTGAGACAGGGTCAGTAAATTCTCTGCTCGAATGTTGCAGATTTCTTTCACTCATTTATTGGAGTTTCGCAACTTTTGGAAAAATTCTTTGCACTGGGATGAGGGTTGAATTTGCACAAACATCCATGATTCTGAAGGAACTGCATAGAGTAGTAAATGGAAAATATTTCTCTTCCACTAGTAATCCTAGCAGAGTTTGATTTTTAGAATGCCGGATCACAGTCTCAGGATAACTAGCAATTAGTTTGGACTGAGTTTAGGAGAAATTTCTTCACTCTAACAGCTGTGAATCTTGTTTGTAAATTGAAAATATCTGGCAGGATGTGGAGAAATCATTTCTATTGTTCATTTCCCAATAATTAGTGATTGTTGACGATGAACTTCTAAGATTTAGGATTCTCATTTTTTTTAAAATCACGAATTGATGCAATTTTAGCACTATGTCTGTAAGGACACATTAGCGACTGAATTCCAAAATCAATTCAGGACTTTAGCTTACATTTCTTTGGGTAAGTAGCATTGAATTTGGATGTTTATCTCTTCACCTTTTTAAAAAAATACGAACTGGATTTCTTCATAAAAATCTCAAAGGGTATTAAAGTACAGAGTTCAAAAACAAGATTAAAATCGCTCAATATTTTTGGTTCAGCTTTGATTCTTGCACATCCAAATGGCAAAAACCAGTCAATTTCCGTCAATCTTATCTACCACAGAACTTAAATGTGGACGAGACATATAAGGCTATTTTCAGTGTTCTCTGTTTTTATATGAGCGGAAACCCATCTCTTCATAACAACACGTGAATCGTTCAAAGTTTGCTGCACAGAAAAATATCATTTTCCCCTGTCTCTTTATAACAAGCCATAGTAGTAATAACTAAAAGTCACCTGGCATAATTTAATTTTGGCAACTTGACATGTATGTTTTTAAATTAAAAAAGGTCAAGTTATAGTTTTCTAAAAAAATAACTAGATGAAGAAGACTCGCAATCGGGGATCTGTTTGAGGATGGTTGGAAGTGTTTTTCTCCTATGATGTGGAAGTTCTGTTCAATAAAGACTTTTTTTTAAAAAAAACGTATATTTTTTTAATCTGTCTAAGTGATTTCTGGAAAACACGGTTCAGAGTGCGGGGGGCAATCTGTGTAATTTGTAATCACAAACATAGGTCACAGTTTTCTGAGGATCTTAAAAGTGCAATCTAAACCTGTTTTACAATAATCGGTTTCGACTTTTGCTGAATTTATTGTGGCTCTGAAAAGAGCCTTTTTTTGTTGTAACTTGAATGGTTTTCTTGGTGCTTTTGAACTTTCGCTTTTCCCCCACGCCCTTCAGCTGCTGCTGATCTGAGTATCCGAAACAGTCTGGTTCGTCTTCTCCGAGGTGGAGACTTCTTCCTGAGACGGAGGTTTACTCGGTTCCTCCGGGGCCTTGGCCGCTTTCTTGGGCTTGGCCGGCCGACGCCTGGCTTTCCGAGGCCCGGCCCTAGCAGCCGCCTTCCTCCCGGCCTTGGGTCTCCTAGCGGTGCGGCGGCCCCTCGGCCCTCGCCTGCCGGCTCCGCCAGGCTTCCGCCCAGTCTTCCTGGGGACCACCCTCCTTTTGGGTCTCTTTGCTGCGGCGGGTTTCCTGGCCCTATGCCGTCTGGAGGCGGCGCCGGAGCCGAAAGACGGGTGGGCGGCGGGGGAGGAGGAGGAGGAGGAGGAGGAAGGCAGCGGAGGCGGCAGCTCGCCACTCCTCCTCGGCTTCTTCTTGCCTTCGGCGCCGCGGAAGGATGCCTCCGCTTCCCGCTGCGCCTTGGCGCTGCCGAGCTTGAAGGAGCCCGAGGCGCCGCTGCCTGACGTCTGCACCAGGGAGCCCTTGGCCACCAGGCTGCGGACCGCCTGCTTCAGCCGCCAGCGGTTGGCCGCCACGTCGTAGCCGCTGCCCGACAGCAGCTTTTTGAGGGCGGCCAGCGACAGACCGCGGCGGGCCTTCTTGGCACCGGCCGCCGCTACCGCCTCCAAGATGCGGTCGGACACGGTCAAGCTGCTCCGGGCGAAGGCGGCGGGGGGCGGTGGCAGGGCTTTGCCCTTCCTGCCCTTTCTCCGGGCCGCCAGCGTGTCGGTCATGACCGGGGCCTGTGGGTGTGCGAGCTCACGGATGTCTCTGTCTCTGTCTCTGTCTCTGTGCCTATCGCGCGTCGCTGGGAAATGAGGAGCTGCCCATAGCCGCCGCCGCTATTTAAAGCCCTTAACCGGACGCTGCAGAGTCAAAGATCAACAACAAAAAATCCTCCTGATCCTGAGGAAGGGTCAATGGAATCAAAATTTAACGGAAACAAAACAAAGAACTGCGGATGCTGGAAATCTGATGCCAAAGACAGAAACTCAGCAAGTCTGGCAGAATCGGTGCAGAGAGAAACACGAGTTAATGTTTCGAAACAAGAACAGAAATTGCTGGAGAAACTCAAAGGGTCTGGCAGCATCTGTGGAGAGAGGTTTTGAAGAAGATTCATTGGACTCGAAACATTGATTCTTATTTTTCTCTCTACAGACGGTGCCAAATGTGCTGAATTTCTCCAGTACTGTTTCTTATTTCCAGCCTCCGTAGCTCTTTGTTTCATTTTGTTATACCTCCTGTGACCTTGAAGTTGTGTTTTCAATCCAACAAAATATAGAAAGTGCTGGAGAAACTGAATGGCATTTGTGGAGACAGAAACATTTAAAGTTTCGAGTCCTTGAGACCCTTCGTGTTTATTTTATTAACCCGTGCCCACATTCTCCGTCTCTGGTTTAAGATCCTGCTCATGGCTCCTAGTCGAAACAGTAATTCACTTTTTCCTTTTCTCAGTCCGCAAGTGCTGCCAGACTTGCTGAGATTCTCCAGTTTCTCTGTTTTTGTCTCACGTTTTCAGCCGACGCCATTTCTTTCTTATTAAATAATATACACAAATCACCCTCCTCCCAGGTCTGAACATGAATCTGAGATACATGAATCTGATTTGTTTTATTCTTCCCCGTCCCTGTTTTAAACTCTGCACGTTTTTTTATTGGCCCACTTATATCTCAATATTAATTGGGACAATCATAGCATTAGGGGTTTAGAAGAGGCAGATTTCTTGAACTGGATAAAGGAGAACTTTTTATATCAACATGTAGATGGTCCTCCAAGGGACGGGGCAGTCCTGGACCTAACTCTGGGGAATGAAATCGGTCAGCTGTTTGAAGTGGCAGTGCAGTAGTGTTTCAGTGATAACGACCACAAAACGATATATTTTAAACTCGTTATGGAAAAGGGGAAAGATGGTCTACACAAAAGAAGTTTTTGATTGGGATGGATTTTATTAAAATAAACTATGATCTGGCCAAAATAGAGTGAGAACAGTTACTTGAGGATAAATATTGAGCAGAAGAGTGAGGAGCATTCAAAAAGATACGGCTCGTCAGTGGAGTACAGGCCCAACGTATTCCCTTTAGGGTGAAATTTAGGAGTAACAAGCTCGAGATCCTGAATATCAAAATATTCAAGACTGGATAAAAAGGAAAAGTGAGACGTGTAACAGGTACAAAGGGAGCAAAAGAACAGATGCCCTAAATGATAGAGAAAGTGCAGGGAGGAACTCTAGAGAGCAGTTCGCGAGAATAACCTCTTATCTCCGATAACAAGGTGTAGAGCTGGATGAACACAGCAGGCCAAGCAGCATCGGAGGAGCAGGAAGGCTGACGTTCGGGCCTAGACCCTTCTTCAG